GATACTGAAACAGCCGGTCTGTAATCATGCTTCTGTGATATATAAGAAGTTATTAGGTTCTGAACTGCAAAGAAACAGTTGAGTGCATCTCATAGTTTTCGATCACTCTACACGTGTCCCCCACTTATACCCATGCCTCTACAAAGTGTATGCAATCTACTTGAAGGAGTGTCCTTTATTTTTACAGCGGTGAAAAAGTCACAGTGACTCAAATGTGGTGAACAGCACTGGTGGTGAGCAAAGATTGATTCAGTATCAGTAAGGCTCTCATGTTTTCAGTGCACTCTAAGCTGACAGATGACGGCACAACCACAGTCCCAGTCGTTTCTACCTAAAGTTCATCTCTGACACAGTGTTCACAATCTAAACAGGGATTCACAGTACAAAGTGCCACGGATGATGAGTGCTCCACAGGCGGCTGGTCTTGCTGCTCACTTGTAATGACATATTCACACTTTGAAAGTCTGAATTCAGCCTCTAAGGAGAAAATGTCTCTGTTATAGTTGGAGATTGAATTCTCATCAACGGTGATGCTTAACAGAGAATTTTGGTCTGAAACAAAAGCTGATGTCTGCACAAGTCTGACGTCCACATTGGAAATAGAGAGCACTCAGTGTAAGTGGTGAGAACAGGAGAGAGAGATGGGCAAAATTAAAATAAGGTTTTTGGTTTTTCTGAGGTCTGTTTCTGGAACTTTTTAATCACACTTCATATCAGTAAACACTCAGCCCCGTCATTTCAGATAGAGGAGCTCCTACTTGTCTTGGACGCAGTGAGCGGCGGTCAGCAGCCAGCGGTTGCTCAGCACAGAGGCTCCACACACATGTCCCATTCCCTTGAAGTGGAGGCTGACCTGCCAGGGCCACTCGCCCTCCCGAGACGCTTGTCCTCCCACGATGCGAGAGCTGCGGTACGGCCTTATCCCGCACTCTGAAAGCACACATACGTGCAGGCGTTACCGCCACTAAACTCCATACCACAACCATCTATAGGCAAGTGTGTGGTTAACTTACCACAGTTATCCTCATCAGAGTCGTCGGTACAGTCCTGCACTCCATCACACTCTGGGTTCATTTTACTGATGCAGAGTTTGTTTTTGCATTGGAAGGTGAACTCTGAGCATGTCTGCAGCACCAAAGCTGAAAGACGAGAGACACGTGCAGTATCAGTGAGCAACTCTGACCCACAGGTATCCTTTACCTTTACCTCAAAATGCTGTTTGATTAAAGATTTTCATCAAAACCATACATTTTCAGGAGTTCTTATTTGAACTTTACTTCTTACATTTTTCACATTTGGACTCATCAGACGCATCACCGCACTCATCTTTTCCATTGCACTTCAAATTCTCTGCAATACAGCGGCCATTTTTGCAGGAAAACTGCCCTTTGCATGTTTCTGTAAAACAAGAGAAAAATCACTTATTTACTACCCTCTACTCGAGTGTTTAATTTGACCTGTTGCTATTTTAATTCCAGAGCTCTTTTAAAGGAGTCAGTTTCAACACAAACAAACACAGGCTAGTCTTCCACCTTTCTTCCACATACACTGCCTCTGCATGTCAACAGATTCTTATGGAAATGTGATTGCACAACCCTCTGGTCTGATTTGCCTGCTGGGCTTCCTACATTCCTCAACAAAACTGGCTTTACCGGCAGAACAACCTCTTGCATTATCTGCCACCTTGCATTTATAGTCCAGTTTTTATTACAGTACTGTTTATGCACATATTACTTTAAAATGTATGGAGAAAAGTGATAAAATTTGCCTGTTGCTTTGGCGAAGTTTCAACTAATTCTTTGTATCAGTACTTATTGAAAAAAGGAAACCTATTTGGCTCTTATTATTTCCCTCAACTTGAATGTCTTTATACATTTTTTTAATGCAGACCCTCAGTTTATTCTCCTTTTTTAATCTCCTCAGGTTTCTTCTGATTGGCTGCCCCTCCCAAATATAAAGGATTTGATTGGCAGGCAGGTGGGGCTAGTGCAAATGCAGTCAGACCTACTTATCTAACAAGAGCATATTTGGGATATCCTCTGTCACTGACAACACTGCCTGAGTTTTTAGTGCAATAAACTTTAAGCGATGTTTAAAATAAACATCAACTGCTGAAATAGCTCCAGTTTATTGTTTCGCTGCACTCACCACAGTTTTCTTCGTCCGTGTTGTCTCCACAGTCGTCCACACCATCACACAGCCAAAATTTTGGTTTACAGTGACCATTTTTACACTGTATCTGAGACGC